CCAATTTTCCCAGATTCATACTTCGTACATTCCATGTTCCGATTTTCAATGACTGTTTACAGCTGTTTCTCTTCATTTTGAGTTGTGCCCTATCAGCAAATGAAGGACCGGGGGGCTTTTCTCCCACGGGCTTTACTCCATTCGTGTCATCACAGTCAACTCTACTTTGAGGAGGCATCTCTTCCCCAGTCGCATTTTGAGCGCCTTCCAACCTGAGAGGCTCATTTTCCGGCACTATATCTGACAGTGTTTCTCTGCCATTCATAAAGTTTACAGTGACTAAATATTCGGAAGTAGTTCGTCACTCTTTCTTCCTAGTCTGTCTTAATTAATGTCATATGTCCAGTGTCATACAGGATAGTTTTGCTGCCCTGGGCTCTACCTGTTCATCCCTTCCCTCCCCCCGAACTCCTGATAACCACTGATCTTTTGGCTGTCTCTATAATTTGCCTTTTCCAAAATGTCATATATTTGGACTCCTGTGTTCATACGTATTCAGACTGGCTTCTTCTCATCTAACTAGCATAGTGGTTACGAATTGGGCTGCTAGCCTCAAGGTCAGCAGTTCGAAACTACCAGCTGTTCCGCAAGAGAAAGATGAGGCTTTTTGCTCCCATAAAGATTTACAACCTCGGAAACCCTGTGGAGGGTCACTACGAGTTGGAACCGACTCCACGGTACTCAACAACAACATGTGCATTTGAGGTTTCTCCATGTGCGTTTTCTCTTTTGCTCTTTAATAGCTCATTTCTTTTTTTTATCATTGCCTAGTCCTCCACTGTGGGTCCTGGTGTGCTCTGGATTGCTAACGGCGAGATCAGTGATTTAAACCTACTGGGCTCCCTGGGAAGCGTGCAGGCTTGCTATGAGTCAGAACTTCAATACTCCATTGTATGGCTATTTCTTTATTCACTCACCTATTGATATGTTGAGTGCTTCCAATATTTGGTAATTATGAATAAAGCTGCTGTAACTAGACCTGTGCATATTTTTATATGGACATAAGTCAACAGTTGCTGGAACATGGTAAGCCTATGTTTAACTTTGTAGGAAACTGCCAAACCGTCTTCTAAGATCTCTGTGCCATTTTGCATTCCCTCCACCGTTAATAAGAGTCTCTGTTGCTCAACGGTCTCGCCATCCATTTTGTGGTGTCTGGGTTTTATGTTTTAGCTATTCTAATAGGTATATACTGGTGTCTTGTTATTTTAATTAGAAAATCACTAATGACATCATGGGAAGATCTTTTTATATGTTATTTACCATCTCTGCATCTTCTTCTATGAGGTTTCTCTGTTCAGATCTTTAGTCCAATTTTTAATTTACGTTGTTTGTTTTCTTATTGCTGAAATGATAATAGTTCTTGAGTGAATTTTTGTGAAAGACGGAAGGAAGGTCTTTGTGTATGTGATGATGTCCCGTTTGGCAGCATTTGTTGGAAATCTAGTCTTTCTCTATTGAATTGCCTTTGCTCCATTGTCAAAGGCTTGTTGGCTCTGTTTGGATCTACTTGTAGCTCTCTGTCCTCTTCCCTGGCCTGTTTATTCTTTTGTCAGTACCATACTGTTTGCATCTCTGTAGTTTTTGTAAGTCTTGAAGGCAGCTAGGATCAGTCTTCCAACTTCACTATTGTATTGGCTATTTCAGGTCTTTTGTCTTTCCATATAAACTTTAGGATCCATTTACAAGTGTTCAAATACAAATAAGTAGAATATTTCTGAGATTTAGAGTCATACTTTCAGAGCAATTTAATCACTCAGCTTTAGCAACTATTAGCATTTTGTCAGTTTTGTGTCATCTCAGTGTCTCGGACATCTTTCATGCTGTAGTAGTTAAAGCAAATTCCAGACAATGCTATTTTATCCATAAATTACAGTTAAGAAACGTTATGCATATAAGTTAGTATGAACTCTCTTAGAGCACATGGATATGATATTTACAAGGAACCTTTAAAATGTTCACATCCTTTGATCTAGAGAGTATATTTTAGGCAGTTATCCTTTGGTAGAATAGTGAAGTATCTGTACAGATTTAAGAGTGTTAAAATTATAGCTCAATAATTGATACTGATTTTTAAAAATCTGGTTTATTTTCATGAAAAATTAGAAAACATTATGCCACCATAAAATAGTTTTTTGGGAAAGTGTGTGATTTCCATAAGAGAATGCTCATACTTAAGATTAGAATTCAAAATGTTGTAGTGTGATCACTGGATTTTACTTAACAATGGTTTTAAACAGTTTAAGTAGATTTTTATAGAAACGGTTCAGGCTGCCAACCTCAAGGTCAGCAGTTCGAACTACCAGTGGTTCCACGGGACAAAGAGGAGGCGTTGTGCTCCCGTAAAGATTTACAACCTCGGAGACCCTGTGCAGGGTCGCTATGGGTCAGAACCGACTCAATGATACATAAAGAAAAAAAAAAAAAAAAAAAAATGGGAAGGATTATCGTAAAATACTAACAGCACTTACCTCTGAGTGTTGAGATTGGAGATGATTTTATTTCCATTCATTTTTCTAAATCTCTGAAGAGCTTGCAGTTAATTTTTTTAATTAAAAGAAAAATTATTATATACTATATTATTTTGGAGTACTGTATCCTAGTATTTATAAGTGTTCAAATCCAAGTAATTAGAAGTTTTCTGACATCTAGAGACATAGAGCAGTTTAATGCATGCAATTGTGAAGTATTTGCAAAAATAAAATATGTAAACCTATATATGGATTACATGTATAGGTTTACAGGTTACATGAGTCCTGGTGTGGCACTATAGGATAAACATTGGACTGGTAGCCACAGGGTCAGCAGTTCAAACCCATTGGGTACTCTCAGAAACCTTATACAAGGTCTCTGTGAGTTGGAACCGACTTGATGAACACACAACATATATGGATTATTATTAGATCAGAATCATATATTTGTGGAAATTCTCTGCAGGTCTTATGTAACTTGCTGCTTGAATAAAGCTTAGCTAGTTCTCAGTGTTCCGCGGAATAACAGAAAATGAGCTGTGGGCACCAGTTGACACGCAGATCCTGATTGAGGCTGTCTTGTCCTGCATGTCAGCGCAACTGGGAAAAAGTTGGGGGCTGGTTTGAAAATTGGCCTGTTTACACAAACTGACTTTGTTTGAAGTGTGCTGTTGCAGATTGCAAGTCAGATTGATTTGTTATTTTAGGGGCTTTGTTTTTTTATCTCCTTCATTTTTAGGTTAAAAATTTTGCAGTTATTTATCTTGTGGATATTACAGAAGTACCTGACTTCAACAAAATGTATGAGTTATATGATCCATGTACTGTCATGTTTTTCTTCAGGTATGTTGCATTACCTTAAAGTTGTTACTTAGACTGAATGTCGCTTGGAACTTAAAATGTGATCATGAACTCTTTGGTGATGTGGTGGTGTGCTGTTGAGTCGGTTCTGACTGATCGTGACCTTGTACAGGGTTTCTGAGGCTGTGAATCTTCACGGGAGCAGAAAGCCCCTCGTCTTTCTACCGTGCGGTGGCTGGTGGATTCAAACTGCTGACTTTTCGGTTAGCAGCCCAATACATAGCCCACTGTACTTGCTCTGTGGATCTTTAGAGTCTTTTATTTCTGAGCAGTCGTAACACAGCATCAACAAACAGTCTTTTACAATTCTAATTTTAACAGTTACTCAGTAACAAAATTTCCTTTTGTAGAAATTTAGGTGTGGTGTAGTTGAATGGAAGCCACTTTTACTTTTAAGATAACTTGAAATATCATCTGTGGATGAAAAGATCTGTTTTAAAGTAGATGACTTTTAAAAACATATATATAGCAATATGTCACTTTGTTTGCTGTTAAGTGCCACTGAGCCAGTTACAACCCGGGTTTCCGAGGAGTAACTGGTGGACTTGAGCCACTGACCTTGTGGTTAGCAGTGCAGTACTTCTCCTGCAGTGCTCCACCCCGGTTCCATGTTGTTCAGTGCCATACCAACAGGAGCATTTGTCTCATCCTCTAGACGGAGATCTCCCAAGCTTGTCAGGAGAGTCTGGAAGATGGAGAGTCTGTATTAGCTTTCCATTCTGTGTGACAAATTGGCACAAACTTAGCAACCTAACTCAGCACCCATATATTAGCTCACTGCTCTATGGGAAAGAAGTCCAGTGGGGCAGCCCGGCGCGGAGGGTGTTGCAGACCCACTCGTGTCGCTGCTCGGCCATCTCTGTGCTGCTCTGGGAGGCCACTCACTCCTTTTGCTTGGCCCACCATCTTCAAGCTCAGCCACAGTGTGTCTAGTCCTCTCTTCACACTGACTCTCTCTGACCTCTTCTGCCACTAGGCTGAGAAAACTGAACTAAGAGATCCCATAGAATTAGCACTTGTGGCACAGTGGGCTAAATGCTGGGCTGCTAACCCAAAGTTCCGAACCACCAGCTGTTTCATGAGAGCAAGATTTACAGTCTCGGAAATCTTCAGAGTCAGAGTCAGAATTGACCCAACAGCAGTGGGTCGGGTTTGGGGATCAGGTTGGGCTCAAAGGAATAATCCAGAGGACACTCCCTGTTTTAAAGCCACTGGTTGATAACCTTCATGACACCTGTAAAATCTCTTGTCCAGGATGATGTAACTTCAGCCCAGGGCTCTGGTGTCATCGTTACTTCGGTAAAATCCCTTGTACATTGCAGTGAAACATATCCCATGGGCATGGCCTTATCACTGTCAGAGTCCCAGGGGTTAGGGCAGGAAGTCTTGGTGGGGCAGGGTGCATTTTAGGCTTTTGCCTCCCATAGTTTGCAGCCTGGGTAGCGCACGTGGTTTGTGGTGGGCTGTTAACCTAAAGGTTGGCAGTTCAAATCCACTCAGCCACTGCAGGAAAAAGGAATGGATGTCTGGTCCTGTAAAGATGCCCGCAGGAGAAGCCCTAGGGAGCAGGGTCACCATGAGTCAGAGCCTATGCCACGCCATAGCTTTAGTCTGCTCTCTGACTCCCACGTGCGTTCTGTCCCCACCATCCAGGTTCCTAAGTGTCATATCTCACTGCGGCATCAGTTAAAAATCCCTAAATTGGGTCTCAATGAGTCTCCTCGGTGTAAGCAACTAGTGCAGCTTCGGGGCTCTACCTGTAGCCTGTGAGGCTGAAGAGAGCTTAGAGTCACATGGCATGCAGTATATATAATAGCAGGCATTTTTCCATGGAATTGTCTTTTGAAAGGTCTTTGATACCCATTCTCCCCCGACCCCCCAACATCGGTAACAACAGAACAAACCCTGTTGTGTCTTCACCCAGCCCACCCCCGACCTTTTTGTACTCTCTCTTTCTCTTTGGAGGAACAAGCACATAATGATTGACTTGGGCACCGGTAACAACAACAAGATTAACTGGGCCATGGAAGACAAGCAGGAGATGATTGACATCATAGAGACCGTGTACCGAGGGGCCCGCAAAGGCAGGGGGCTGGTTGTGTCTCCAAAGGACTACTCCACCAAATACCGATACTGACCTCTGCTGCCGGGCGTCTGCACAGTCCCTTCCCTGTGGTGTATTATAAAGTATTGAGCGCTTTGGGGAAATGCTGGCAAGCATACATGCAGCTCACGGAGCTCGAGTGTCTTTTTGAAGTAAGGATTTAGTAGCCTTAAATTTTCAGTCTGACTCTGTGTTGTGTTTTTATATTGGCAAATAACTGTAAATACCTAACTCAATAAAGTACAAAGTTATATGTGTGTGTTTTAAGAAGCCTGATTGAATGGATTACTGATTTTTTTTTTTTTTTTCAAAGGGTTTTAAAGGCGCTCTGGTAGCGTAGTGGTTACAAATCAGGCTGTGAACCGCAAGGTCAGCAGTTCGAAGCTACCAGCAGTCCCGTGGGAGAAAGATGAGGCTTTCTGCTCCCATAAAGATTTACAGCTTCGGAAACCCTTTATGGGGTCACTATGAGTCGGAACCGACTCTACGGCACTTAACAACAACAACATTATGGATTGAGTGAAAGTTTATAGAGCAGATCATCAGTTTTGCACTCAAATCATATACCTTGTTTCATTACAATGATTATAATCCCCTCCATATGCCATCAGTTAACAGTATTTCCCTCTGTTCACTTTAGCTCTTTTTTTTTTTAAACACTCAGGCATATGTAATAGTTTACACCACCAAAGGGCACATTCTGCAAGTCTGCCTCCTGGCCTCCAGCTCTCAGTCCCTCTCTTTCCATGTCCCTCCAGCTGCTCCCTCTCTCCATGTCCCCATCTCTGCCTCCATCTCTGGTGTCGCTGCTTCTCTGGGTAAGGTTTTGCATTCTGCTTGTGCTCTTCTCCCTTGATGGTCCTAGGGCCCTCTGTTTCTGGACTGTAAGATTAACTACTTCCCCGTTTTTGTTAGAAAACTTCTACCTTTACAGTTGTGACAGTTGCAATTTGTCATGATACCAATTACTATTGATTCATAAGAATCTTATCCCTATCTTTTTTCACTAGGCCCATCTAGACAAGATGAAAAGTATTCAGTGGGACTCTTTCTTCCCCCACACACTATTAAACTAAACTCTTTCTTGAAACCTTGTAAGCCAGTCACTTTGTGCCTTTATCGCCCCTTCATTTCAGGTAGCCAATATCTAAGTTGCCCATCCCTATCTGCCCTGTGTACAGAGGGGTGGATTACTGATTTTCGTAACCAAAATTTATTTTAGTAATCTATAATTGGGAGGGGAATCCAGAACCTTTAGTACAGAAAGAATATACTATTAGAATAAAAGTACTTTTTGACATGGAACAAGAACTTTCATCACTGATGTCAGATGGGTCTTGGCTGAAAGCAGAGAATACCAGAAAGATGTTTGCCTGTGTTTTATTGTCTATGCAAAGGCATTCAACTGTGTGGATTATGATAGGTTATGGATAGCAATGCAAAAAACGGTAATTCCAAACTCTTCATTGTGCTTATTATGTGGAACCTGTACATAAGTGAAGAAGATCAGGAAAGGGATGAGTCAGGGTTGTACTTTCTCACCATACTTGTTCAATCTTGTGTGCTTTGCCAATACTCCTAGAGACTGGACTATATGAAGAAGAATGTGACATCAGGATTGGAGGAAGACTCATTAATAACCTGTGATATGCAGATGATACAACTTTGCTTGTAGGAAGTAAAGAGAGGACTTGGAATACTTACTGGTTGTGGTACAGTAAGTCCTTTGACATGTTGTTGTTAAATGTCATCAAGTCCATTTAGATTCATAGCAACCAGGAGCAGCTGGTGGGTTTGAACTGCCCACCTAGTGGTTTGCATTCCAGTGCTGATCCTACAGTGCCACACTAGAAGTCCTCCATTTTGTAGTATATTGTAAATCCTGCCCTGCCTGTCTGTGGTTAGGGTCCCATTTTGGAGTGAGTTGTGGTAACTTGGATTTACTTCATAAGGCTTTTCTATTCAAAGTCTTAATTCCCACCAAGTGATTGGGTGAGACCATGCAAATAGAGTGTACAGGACTCTAATGCCAGGATTGGTTAGTTTTGCCAAAAAACAACTGAGTTTTTTTCAAACTGTTTTAGTGTGAATTATATGATAGTTTACGTGGGAGAACATTAGTTTTATGTTCATCCTATTGTTACATTGCTGTGGTTACAATTCCCCTCCATGCATCATCAACCAACCAAAGGGTATACCCTGCAAGCCTGCCCCCCCGGTTGTCAACACACAGTCCCTCTCAGTCTAGAGTCTCTCCACGTCATCATCTCTGTCTCCATCTCTGGTGTTACTGTTTCTCTGGGTAGGGTCCTGCTCTCTGCTCTTCTCCCTTGATGGTCCCAGGGACCTCCGCTCCTGGCCTGCAAAGTCAACCACTCCCCTCCTTTTGCTACAAAATGTCTACCTTTACATTTCCAACCCTCACAGTCAGTCCTGATAGTAATTTTTCACTATTGTACCACGTGAGTGCTATCCCCATCTCCTTTCATCAGCCCCACCCAGACAGATTGGATACTACTCAGTGGAGAGTCTACCTTCCTCTGCACCCTCTGGATCTAGGATCCCTCTTAAAAGCTTGAAAGCCAGTCACTTCTTGCCTTTGTAAACATCCCCCATGCACATTTTGGGTAGCCAATGTCCAAGGTGCCCATTCCTGTTGACCCTGTGTATTGGGGTGGGAATGATCCTCGCTGTAAAGATTTGTTCCCTTTTTTGAGCTACTGCATCCATAGGTGTAGGTCAAGTTCATCAAATTGTATCGGATTACTCTTTTTTTTCCTCTCTTTCTTCTAGTTGCGCTCTGATCATCCAGCCATTGAAGCCAGGTTGAGTGGGTATTTTCTGCAAGTCCCACTGAGTTTTAAAGGAGCCACATCAGAAGCAAGAACAGATGATCTCAGAACCATCAAGAAAGAAGAGCATGAACTGAGCTTGAGATCCCTACCTAGAAAAGTAGCCAAAAGAGAGCAACTGTGGGCTTTCTGGCCCATCAGCCAAGTAAAGCTGTGTGCCTACACCCTTTGGCCATTTCTACTCACCTAAAGGAGCTTTATAACACTTGCCCAGAGCAGGGCATAGGCTAAGGGACCACATAACTGCGATGTACCTGCCTGCAGTCCCTACATCTCCTGCTGCTGGCCCTGAATTGGACCCTGCGCGCTTCCCTAATACAGTCCATGACCATGAGTATTGTCTGTGAGTTCTGTGTGGCCATTGTAATGGATTATTGAACCCAGCTGGGAAACACAGTGCTTTGGGAAGGATGGTGTCAGAATAGGGTAAAGAGTTGCAGGGTGGAGGCATTTCTGACCTGTGCTTCATAGGAATCAGCCTGAAGCTGATTGTGAGTTTGACTCTCCTTCCTCTTTGTGAAGCCACAGCAAGTCAAAATGGCCTCCATGCCATTTTGTAGTTCTACTTTGTGCTAATAAAGAAGAATTAGGGTGGGCTATTTCTTGAGTTGCCCCTTGTTAAAGGGTGTCATTTAAGTCACCACCTTTAATTTCCTTGGGAGTGTGGTCTGCATTCAATATGTAGGAATGCACTGGCAAAGTAAGAGGCCTTAGTGGCATAGTGGGTTAAATATTGTGCTGCTAGCTGCAAGGTCAGCAGTTCAAACCTGTCAGCCACTCCATAAAGGAACCGGTACAGAGCTGTTCTCTGTCCTGTAGGCTTGCTATGAGTTGAAATCACTCAGTGGTAGTAGGTGGCTCTGGGTTTGGCATCTGGTTCATCTTTGTCCCACCTCCGGTTCTTGGAACGTGCGCTACAGACCTGCTGTCTGACCTGACTTACTAACTTCTGCAGCCTGTGAACTGGTGGCCTGCTTGGCTAGCAGATTTGGGGTTCATCAGCTCCTGCAGCTATGTTGGGAGAGGCCTCCAGATTAACACTTAACCCATGGATTTTGAACTTACTACCTCTGCAGTCTGGTGAATCAGCAACCAGCCATCTGACCTGCCAGTTTTGGCTCGTCAGTCCCTGCAACCACTTGTGTAAAAGGAAAATAACATGTTGGTGAGGACATGGAGAAATTGAAACCCTCACCCACTGCAAGTGGGGTATAAAATGGAGCTGTTAAAAATTAAATGTAGAGAGACCGAGAAAAGAAGGTAGACTTGGCAGGAAGGGTATGCAGGCTCTATGCAGCAAGGAAAATGGGAAAGAGACAAGATGGTCCCGGAACTCCGAGCTCCAGAGGAAGGGATGGGGAAGTGGACTGAGTGCCTACTGGGGGAGAGTGAGGTGAATAGACACGGCAAGAGAGGAGATGCCTGATGAGTACCGGCAGCCAAAGGACCTGCCACAGCCATAGTGAGAGTTTGTGAAAACATGCATGTTGCAGAAACCTACATGTGGGTCACAGAGACAAAAAGGACAGTAACTGCGACCATACAGCCAAGTCACAGCCGTATCCTGTGCTGTCCCACTAGTTGGGCAAGAGCAACGACTACAACCAACATTGGCTAAATTCACTCTGGATTGAACTGTGTAAGCAGTGAACAGAAACTTATCTCTTGATCACACCCACCAGCAGGCAATTGGTGAGCATTTAAGAATACACCAACATATATTCATCTACTTAATACCAATACAACACCACAATGCCTAAAAAGTGGCAGAAAATTCCTGTTCACGTGAACAAACAAGACAAAGTAGCTCAAACAACCAAGAAGCAGAACTCAAAAATGCATTTGAGGAAGAGACACTGGAACTACCCAAAAACGAATTCAGTAGAATGATATTGGTTGTTTCTGAGCTCTATCTGTTCCCTTGGTAAATACACAAAATGGAATACTATGTAACCTTGAAGAATAATGAATCTGAAAAACACCTCATAACACGGATAAACCTGGAGGATGTCATGTTGAGCAAAATTAGTCAATCACAAAAGGACAAATATTGAATGATACCATTATTGTAAAAGCTAAAGAAAATGTTTTCATACTAAAACATTCTTTGATGGTTACCAGGAGGGAGGGAGGGGAGAGTACTTCACTGGCTAGAGGGTAGACACTTGTTAGCTTGGGTAA